ACATTCTTTTTCTCACTTTTAAACTCCCCTTTTCAAGACCTCATCTTCTATCTCCCACCTCATTAATTAACCCTTCTTCTTGCGAGTACTGAACCCTACGGCTTTAGGACACAGTGGTTTCAAAAATACTTTCATTGGCTCCACAAACTAAACTTTATGTTTGAACTGATTGAGTTGCCTAAAGGGTTCTTGTTTGTGGAGAATTAGGTGGTTGTAGTTTTATGAGTATAATTATTTTTCCCAAACCATTTATTCCATTTTAAAGAAAACCTAATATGATTTTTATCAATTGGGTTCAATTCAATTACCATAATGCACCTATGTGTATTACCGTAATTGGAAAGACAAAACAAAAGTGCTTTTTTTTTTTAAGTAGCTAGTCCAATTTGCAAGTAATTAATAATGTGTTTGGAATACTTTTTAATATCTAATTACAAAGGGTTTTTAATTAATTGACAGATTATTTTTATTATGTTTGCTTACCTATTAAAAAAATTACTTTTTATTTTGGTTCAAGCCCCAAAACCTTAATTACAAAGTGTGCTTCATATATGAAAAGAATTCGCCCGGCTTGTAAAAAAAGTGTTTTTGAGTGGAGCATTTATCTTTTTAGCACTTCTGGAAGATAGTTAGTAAATGTTTGGTCTAAAAATACATTTTTTTTTTAATAAAGAGAGTGCTGCGTGGCTAAAGATTATGTGAAAAACATACACCAGATAGATTATAAAAGAGCACTCTAGTTCATGGGGATCTAAAAATACTTTTATCTGCTTTTTTTAATCTATTTTTATAAATTTTAGAATTATTACTCACCGTCTAATTAAAAAAAAAAAAGCAGATTGGTTGAACATACTCTTATGTGATCATTATATCAAATAAAAGAAACAGTTTTAATCTTCAATAATATTTATTTTAAATAATTGAAAAGCATGTCAAACCAGATGGCAAACCAGATGGCAAACCAGAATAGTAACTATTTGTATTATAAACTTTTGTTAAGATATCCCACCGGATTCTTAACAAAACATCCTTTTATGTTTCTTTGTTGTTACCAAAGTTTTATTACCATTGTGATGTTCATTATTACATCAAGCAAAAGAAAATGGTAATTTTAAATTAACGGACTGATAATGCGAATTCCAGAGATCAGATCAGAGGGGTACTGCAAGAAATTAATGCATTCGTGTGTGTGGCAATGTAAAGTTTGTAAAGGGTTGAGAGCTGAAGGGATCTTTGTATTGCTGAAATGGAGCTTTATGTCTTTAAAAAAAGGGAGAAAGAAAAAAAGAGAGAGAGAGAAAAAAAAGTAGAAAAAGGAATTCTAGAGAGAGGGGAAAGAAAAGGGGAAGAAAAATAATGGAGAGAAAAAGAGATGATATAACTTAACTTGTAGTTGTATGCTTTTACTTTTAACGTTAACTACAAAGTGGAGTTAAAATTCAGTCTCTATGGGGAGAAAAAATATAAGCCCCCAAGAAGATGATATCTTTAGCATTTTTGGTATCAGGAAACTCTCCTTTTGGGGTTTGCGAGGCAGCCACTTTTTCTAAAACGTCTCTATTTTAAGGGAGTTTCTAACTTTTTTGCATGGAAAACGAAATCCCCCTTCATTATTATCATCATATACAAACCAATAATCCTTTTAAAATAGAATCTCACGTCATCATGAACTTATTTCAACGATAAATGACATCTATTCGTTCCTTTAAGTTGGTCGGAGATCCAAACTCTAATACTCCAATTTGTTGTACTAAAAAAGAGATCAGTCATACTTTTTTTTTGTATATTATATGTAGGTGTGAGAATTCAGACTCACGACATTTTAGTAGACATATGTGAAGTTATCGATTTTTTTTTTGGAACGAAACCATTTCATTCATAAAATATGTGAGGTGACCCATTGACCCATGCTCACTTTGATCTTCCATCAATTACTTTGGTTTTGATGATTTCTCTACTATGTATATTTTTAGGCATATTATATATTAGTTATATATGTATAAGAACATTCCATTTAAAGGGAGAGGAAGAAGAATATACCTACATATAATTAAGATTTGATTTTTTTTTGTTTCCATTTTTTTTAATAAAAACATTATTTTGTC